AATGCGGGTACAATTTTAGAGTGGCATAGAATTCTAGGGCACTGTAATTTTTCAGATATTCGTAAGCTTGAAAATGTTGTAGATGGAATGAAGATCACTAGTCATAAGGAAGTGGAATGTAAAACATGCACACAAGGTAAGATGACCCAGTCGAGAAATAGAACACCTGATAAGAGAACCAATGCCCCATTTGATTTAGTTCATTCAGATTTAGCTGGACCAATTAGTCCAGGTGGTAAGGATGGTTTCAATTATGCATTGTCTTTTGTGGATGATTACTCTGGTGTTATCATGATATATTTTTAAAGCATAAATCTGATACAGTCGAAGCTACTAAACAATTTTTAGCAGATATTGCCCCTCTTGGTAAAGTGAAATGTATCAGAAGTGATAATGGTGGGGAATTTATAGGGCAAAAGTTTAAGTCTCTACTCCGAGAGAACACAATTAAACATGAAACGTGTGCCCCATATTCACCCCATCAAAATGGCACAGCAGAAAGAGCTTGGCTTAGCTTATTTAATATGGCAAGGTGTTTGTTGTTAGAAGCTAAGTTACCCAAAATGTTATGGACATATGCTGTGATGGCTTCAGCATATATAAGGAATAGGTGCTTCAATGACAGATTGGGCAAAACCCCATATGAAGCCTTAACTGGCATAAAGCCAAATCTGAATAATATGCACGTATTTGGTGCAGTATGCTATGCATATGTGCAAGGTTCTAAGAAGCTTGGACCTAGAAGTAAGGAGGGGATTTTTGTAGGGTATGACAAAAATAGCCCTGCATATTTGGTGTACTATCCAGAAAGCATGAAAGTTGAACGAGTGAGATGTGTTAAATTCTTTGATTCAACTGAATTTGATAACGAGAACCGTCAAATTGACGAAGAGGTTGTCTCACTTCCCCGCAATACTTCTTACGGTGAGCAACAAACTGGAGCTGATGAGAATATTGAACCAGCTATTCCACCAGTAGAGGGTGAAGTAAGTAGTGTAAGGCACCCTACCAGGACTCACAATAAACCCGCTTACCTAAGTGAGTATGTTGTAGAAAGTATCACTGATAGTAGCGCTAATGTTGCAATAGATTATTGCTATAGGATGAATGACATCCCAGCTTGTTATTCACAAGCAGTAAATTCATCAGATTCAGCTAGGTGGAAAAAGGCAATGGATGAAGAATTTGACTCTCTGGTAAGTAATGAAACATTTACACTTACCATGGTTCCACCCAACCGCGAGATAGTAGGTGGAAAATGGGTGTACAAAATTAAATCAGGTCCTAACGACGAGGAGACATATAAGGCTAGGTACGTAGCGAAAGGCTATTCCCAAGTCCCAGGTGTGGACTACCATGAAACATTTGCACCAACAGCTCGGATGAGCTCAATTCGAGTATTAATGCAACACGCGGTGCAAAACGATATGATTGTCCATCAGATGGATGTTAAGGCAGCATATCTAAATGCCCCCATTGATTGTGACATCTTTGTTGAACAACCTAAGGGCTATGAAAAAGTGGTGGGAAAAGTAAGAAACAGCAGACAGTTGCGCTGTCCACTTGTGAAGCCGAATATATCGCACTGGCTGAAACTGTGCAAGAAGGTAAGTTTTTAAAGCAGTTGTGTATTGATTTAGGGATATTACAGGTAAGTAATAAGGTGTTGATTAATGCTGATAACCAAGGCGCGATCAAGTTAGCAAAGAATCCAGCATTCCATAAGCGGTCCAAGCATATTGACATAAAATACCATTTTATAAGGAGCGAAGCGCAGCAAGGCGCAATAAGCTTAAGGTATATCGCAGGCGAGGATAATTTAGCGGACATATTCACAAAACCGGTAAGTAAAGTTAGGATGGATAAGTTCAAACATTTTATCTGTAATTAGTTGTGAAGTAGGAGTAAAGTAGGCGAAGTTAGGACATTGCGAGCAAGGGGGGGGTGTTAAGTTGTGCTCTTATGTATTACGTAATTTATGTTATTAAAGTAGAAACAATTGTTAGTTGTAATGTTATTAGTAATTGATATATTAAGTTACATATAGATAAAGAGCAAGAGACTCATGACTATATTTGGTAAATATCTGACCAATCACCGTAAAGCGTAACTTATGTAAATAGTGTATATTCATTGTAAAAGCGTGAGTTGTATTCTGTCTGTCGTGTAAAATAAAGCTATAAGAAACTTACGTGCTCAAATTGAATATAATAAAGAATGGCAACCGCCACAAACCCAACAGCGGCAATTGTGATCTTCTTAGCTGTGTCTGTCCTAACCCACCCTCTCAACTTTCATGTGGGAGTAAGCGGGATCACTCAGGGAAAACCCACGACTTTCGACAGAGCGCTGACTGATTCTTTTCCAAGGATGGGTAGTAGTGAAGTAGTTGTAGTTCGCTACTGTAGCGAACTACAATTTTGAAGTAGCCAGTAGTTTTTGACTACATTTTTATAACAGTAGCTGTAGTTATAGCGAACTACATTTTGCCTAAAAGTAGCCAAGTAGTTGACTACTTTTCAAACAGCAAATCGCTATTCGCTACTTTTAAAAATTGTTAACAACTTGATAGAATAGCATGATATTGAGACACGGTTTGCTTAAAATATACTCAATAGTCAATTTGCACTCCTGAATACTGTACTGATTACAAAAATGTTGCTTTGTGTTTACTGTTGCCACTCGTAAGTCGATTTGTTATAGGTTACATTACAGTCTGAGTTAGTATAGATGCTCCAAATACAGTAAGACTAAAAAATATATGGCGTAGCGAAATAGCGAAATAGTTCGCTACATTTTTTAAGCAGTAGCTGTAGTCAGTAGCGAACTATCTTTGTTCATAAGTAGCAGTAGCTGTAGCTGACTACATATTTTTGAAGTAGCTGTAGTTATAGCGAACTACAAAAATTTTGTAGTCAACCCACCCTTGTTCTTTTCACATGAGTCTGTAGCAAGAATCGGACCCACGAACTCAGAGGTGAACGGCACTTGCTCTGACGACTGCGCCACCGAAGTCCCCTTAATTAATCGACAGTTGTTTTGTTACTATAAGATAAACACAAATAATGCAAGTTCCGATATGCATGTTCTAATTTGTCCAACCTCAGCCACATGTTATGATTCAAGCAGTACTAGTGAACTGGATAGAACTGGAACGTTGCCTCCAACCGGAAATTTGAAGCCAAACTTGCATGAAGGCCGTTCCAGTCTTTTCACGCATGCGATGAACGCGCTCAATCAGTCAATCATGAAATATACAAGCGTACCTTGCCCCAGACACGCGTGTCTTGAGATCAGATCTAGCTTTAAGAAAAATAGGTACGTGACGCGTACATGTATCTGCGAAAAAACTTGATTCGCATTTTTTATTTTTGTTGAAAGGTACTGAATAATGAAGATGACATGAGACAATTTAAATATTTCATCACTTATTGTAACAAATATATATATAATAGCAAACATAATACACATCTAGCAATGATGTACACAGCTGGCAGGGCAGCAAGGGCAACTGCCACCACCACCACCACCTGTGGCAAAGAGGTCATATATCGAAGACCACTGAATAATAGAGAATGTTTTGAAGGTCATGAGTGAAGTATATAATTTAATTCCAGTCCTGTGCACAGTTAATGTTATCAGTTAATGTGCACAGTTAATGTATCGCACGTTTAGTTTATTAAGGTAGCGTTCCAGTTATATGCATTTCAATCAACGCTTCATTTGTTGCTCTGTCGAAACTCCGATTTCGTCTACAAGGAAGGAGGTGTTGGATAGGGGCGTCAATTAAGAAATTAGGTAGCTTAAGCATGTAGGACGGCAATACGACGACGACGGCCAAAACAAATTCCTTCAAATAAATTATAGTAAAGAAAAATTGTCGTATATTATAATTCGTATGAATTTAATACAGTATAAGAACTTGAAAACATTGGCTTTATGTTTGGGAAGAGGTCAACTGAACCGAATTTTAAGTTGCACTTGTTACGGCTTGAAATGAAGGCGTTGTAAAAAAGACGTGAAAATCTGTTATAATTTGTGGTTGTATACAGAGCGACGACCATGTCTGAAACTCCCCTGGGACTTTAATTATTATTTCTTTTCATTGACTCATTGTATTGGTTGCCCTCGTCGTCGTGTTGCCGTCTGTAATGTTGTAGTTGAACACTTTTATTAATAACCTCTCGTATACATGCACATGCAAAACTAACTAATAAAACAATACCTATTGGCGCCAAAAAGTTTTGGTCTCAGACCCCGCACGCGGTCCACCTGCGCGCCAAGGCAACAAAACAACAATGAGCTTATTAACTATATTATATCCCTCCCTTTGTCAGATGATAGTTCCGTCTATTAATATAAACATTAACGTGTCCGAGTCACTGTTCCTTTGACTAATATGCTGTGGACAGTGATATTGTCCGAACTGTCATTTGGTTCACATTGGTTCATAGTTTACATAGTCCTCGAACCTTGCTGGCTGTCTTACGTTCCGTTTCGATCTTTGTTGAAGTGTTTTTTGTTCTTGGGGGTTTGATTGTCTTGGAACCTTTGGTTCAACTTCCTTATCATCGTGTTTGGCTGACTTTGTTGAAATCACCTTGGATTGCGAGGAGTTTCGTGTGACAACCTTTGAATCGTTCTTGGCAGTGACCATTGTTCCCTTTTTCTTTTCTACGACAAAAGGTTGAGGGTTTATGGAGCACTGAATTTGTTTTCCTTCGGCTGTTTCAAAAGGACGGTGTCACCTGGTTTGATGCAACTTTCTTTGGCACCCCGACGGTTGTCTGCGCAAGATTTCATTTGTTCTATCTTCCGAGCATCATATTCAGCCATTGCTTTTTGTTCTGTTTTGAAGTAGAGGGCATCTCCGGTAACATTGTCTTTATCTTCCTGTTGTTGAGGCTTTCGGAGGGGGATATGTTAGTAGTGGAATGGGGGGGGGGGTTGCCCTGTAGTTGAGGAGAAACTGGTTCATCCCTTGCTTCCAGTTTTTCTTCTCAATCGATGATTGCAACCCGAATACATTTCTGTGGTGTGCGCATAAAACGCTCGGCCTCTCCATTTGCTTGAGGCCAGTATGGCGTGATCTTGCGGTGAGTAAAACCGCAGTGCTTGGCGTATGACTCAAACTCGGCACCGTTAAATGGTGGGCCATTGTCGCTTTTCAGAACTTCTGGAAGGCCTTGTCGTGAAAATATTGCATCTAACTTTGGAAGGACAGCTTTTGCGGAAACCGTGGTGAGTACTTCAACTTCGGGGAACCGACTAAACGCATCGATTACGACTAGGAGGTATTCGCCGTTTGGAAAAGGGCCCAGGAAATCCATTGCAACTTCTTTCCAAGGTGCGGATGGCAGCTGGGTCATCTTGAGTGGCTCAGGTGGAGGGTGGTTGCCCGATAGTTTCTTCGACCATCTTGTCGATATTAGGAAACCAGACTTTCGAGCGGAGTAGACGTTTGGTTTTAATGATTCCTTGATGACCAATGTGTGCGAGATGGATTGTCCGGCGTCTTAAGGAGGTTGGCATTACGATTCGGTGTCCACGAAGTATAATTCCTATATGCACTGACAGTTCGATCGTCACTCACTTTCTTGTATCAATCAATCAATATATATTTATTTCCCATGTGTATGTACAATAATAAGTAACAAATACTATGTGTAGTTTGAAGGTGTTGGGCTAGAGACCTACTGGAAACCTTTTCAGGCTTTTTAATGTAGGCCACTATATATATAGTTAGGTTTAAAAAAAATTGCATATATATTTACAGTGAAGAGTAATTATTGAAGTAAGACCTAAAAGTATATACTATTTACAAAAGAAGGATATTATATCATAATATACAGTTACAAGATTACACAATTTTCGCTATAGAATTAACGGTTGCTGTATATCTGTGGTCATTGCATATAAGTTGAAGAAGATCTAGCTCACTATAACATGTTGTTTGATTAATCTTTTGTAGACATTGTAAGAGTTTAATCTTTTGAATTTTGTATCTAATGTATTCCATAGATTAACCCCTTTGTTAGAAAGAGTATGTATGACATAATTAGTTCTTTTACAACACTTGTGTAGTTTTGTTGCATTTCTTGTATTGTAGTTATGAATTTCATTGTTTGTTATAAAATAATTTTCAAATGCTTCTGGTAAATTTTTAAGATAATAGTATCGATACATAAACAAAGCAGTTAGGTAATCATTTATTTTGAAAATATCTAAAATGCGTAATTCTTTGAATATAGGTTCTGTATGTTCCGAGTAAGATCTAAAAGTTATCAAACGCACAATTTTTTTTTGAATATTCAATATTTTTTGAATTCGGGTTTTGTAGGTATTACCCCAAATCAAGTTGCCATAAATAAGATATGGATACACTAATGTGTAATAAATTAGCTTCAGTGAATTTCTGTTTATCAAGTGTCTTATTTTTGCTATTATTCCCGAGGCTCTTGTGATTTTCTTTGATACCTCAGTTATATGGTTATTCCAAGTCAAATACTCATCAATTGTTATACCAAGAAAGGTTGTGCATTTGACATGTTCTATGTTTACATTATTTACGCTAACTTTTACATTTTGTTTTAATTTCTTGTTTGTAGATCTGAATATAATATATTTGGTTTTTTTAATATTTAGAGATAGTTTATTTGCATTTAACCATTCTGCAACTTTATTCACCTCTTCTTGTATGACCTTATTTAGTGATTTAAGACAGCTGTTGCTATAAAAGATATTAGTATCATCTGCAAACAGTATAAACGAAAGTAAATTGCTGCTATGTTCAATATCATTTATATAAAGTAAAAATAAAATAGGTCCAAGAATTGAACCCTGTGGGACACCTGTTTTAATTGTCATTTCTTCTGACCTAGTTTGATTGTACTTGACAATTTGTTTTCTATTTGTTAAATAATTGTCAAACCATAGTTGAGTAACTCCACGTATGCCGTAATGTTCTAATTTTTGGGCCAGAATCTTGTGATTAATAGTATCAAATGCTTTTGACAAATCGAGGAATATACCTATTGTATATTCTCCTTTATCAATCGCTTTAGTAATTCTATCGGTAAGTTCAATGACTGCAAGCTCAGTAGATCTATTTTCTCTGAAACCATATTGGTGCTTGCTTAATATTTTACTTTTTTCTATAAATTTAATTAATCTCCTATACATGACTTTTTCCAATAATTTTGCAAAACAAGTAAGAACAGATATTGGTCTATAATTTTTGAATTCATTTTTTTCATTTGCTTTATAAATTGGAGTAACTAGAGCTATTTTTAATTTATCTGGAATAGTTCCGCTTAGAAAGGTTAAGTTGAATATGTGTGAAAGAGGTTCAGAGATTTCGTTAGCAATTTTCTTGATGACTTGTAAGCTTATGCCATCATAACCTGGACTTTTTTTAGCATTTAAATTTCTTATGTCAATTTCTAATTCGTGTTTTGTGATTGGTTCAAGAAAAAAGCTTTCTTTATTGTTATTAGATAAATAATCTTTGAAGGACCTTTCACTACTTGGAAGTTTTCTTGCTATTCCTGGTCCAACATTCACAAAATAATCATTGAACTTATTCGCTATGGTGTGTGGATCACTTATAATATCTTCAGGGCTATTTCAAATAAATTCTTTGGGGAGTGTTTTGATAGTCTTGCGTTTATTCATTATCTCATTTAGTGTTTTCCATAGTAATTTTGTATCATGCTTGTAGTTTATCAGTTGTTCTTCATAAAATTTTTTCTTTGTTATTTTTATGATATGATTCAATTTGTTTTTATATTGTTTGTATTTACTTTCATTGCTTGCTGAAGGATGACGTAGGTATCTCTGGTAGAGCTTGTTCTTTTTATTAATTGAAGTAGCAATGCAATTTGTTATCCATGGACTTCTAGTTTTGTCAATTTTCCTTCTGTATGCTTGTGTGATCGTTGCGGGTTTCGATCGTTTTCCTCGTCGCCAGATGTAATGTTGTAGTTGAACACTTTTATTGATAACCTCTCGTATACATGCACATGCAAAACTAACTAATAAAACTATATCTATCGGCGTCAAAAATTCTTAGTCTCAGACCCCGCACGCGGTCCACCTGCGCGCCAAGGCAACAAAACAACAATGAGCTTATTAACTATATTATACCGTCCTTCGTGCTAAAGCTCCCTATTATGATTATAGGGCTGTGTACGTCTTAAGTACGTACGTGACACCTATTACAGTGGGCGTTATCTGATAACATCAGAACAAACGGCATTGGCTTATCATGATCGCTCGTATGAACCAGACGATATACTGTATAACAATACATGCAATTACTTCTCTTATTGGTAAATTAATAGTTCTCATAATAAATAAAGACAGTTTGATACGGACAGTTTAACTTTTAGGCTGTTTCATTGGTCGAATTTGACTCCGAAGAATTTTCATTATTTCTTTAATATATTCGTCGACTGGTTGAGTTTATTAACTCGAACGAATTCATTTTATGACTAGTGACCATGGATTACAGAGACATAGAAACAACGCGATCTGAAACAAACGTTAACATATTAATTTGTTCGTTCAATTTGACAAGATGTGTTACAGATTTTATTTATATCCGTTTGACCATAACTCAGAATAATTAACCCCATTTTCTTTAATTATAAACATATTTCTGTTCTGTTTTCAGGTTGGCAATTCGTAAAGCCTGTTTCATACGTCACACTACTATTGTCGAATTTAATTCAGACTAATTTAACAGAACAGACAACGGCGACGATAGTGTGTCGTATCAAACAAATTACAGTAAATTCGTCAGTTGAAGTAAATTCGTTCAAGATGTATTTTTATTCTCCAGATGTCGTGCATAGGGTCATTAAGATCAACTTCAAGTGTTCCATGCCATTTGATCCATATTGGTGATTAAATGTTCTTTCTATTAAAACATATTAGTACAAACGCAGTCACTCTAGGGGATGGTCTGGTGACGTCATCACCACCGTGCACATCCGCATGTGTTTTCAAGAACAAGGGGGAAATTTCGATCTCGACAAGGGGCCCAAAGAAGCTTGTCCATGGCAATGGACCATTTGCATTATAGACTAAATTTTGATCTAGACAAATATTTCATCACAGCTTGAAAGAGCATCACAAAATTAGTAATATTCCAAAGTTTCGTTGCGAAATGTTGTAAAATGCGGAAAATATAGCCTTGGGAAATTTGCAATTTTCAGTCATTTTAGATTACAAACGGGAAATTGATGCCCCAACACCCGATTGGGCTGTCAATTTCCCGTGCGTAATACAAAATGACTGAAAAACGGCAAACTTCGCATGGCTATATTATCCGCATTTTACAACATTTCGTAACGAAACTTTGGAATATTACTAATTTCGTGGTACTCTTTCAAGCTGTGATGAAATATTTGTCTAGATCAAAATTTAGTCTATAATGCAAATGGTCCATTAATATGAGTGTGTTATCTTTAAAGGTCTGTTATGTGCTGATTCTGATTTAGCAGCCATAGAAATACACCATCTAATAATCATTGGGTGATACCGTTGTGCTTGAGCTGCACGTGATGCGATTCTTTTTTGTTGATCCCAAAACAATTTGATAAATGAAGTCATTCTGTCCCTACTATTAGAAGTTGTTTTCAGTAAATCATTATTAAGATCATTTATCACTGGTATGCTTTTTTGGTCAACCGGCGTATGATCCTTTAATTAATGCCGGTTCAAACTGAGCCAACAATATATATTTTCCCAAAATCGTGCTACAATATTCGACTATTCGGTTTTGCACCTTATTTTTCAAATACAATATTCTGGATATAAACTGTATTGGAAATATGTGCCTAATGTTGTTTACGAAAGAAAACATTATTTTCATCGTTTGAAAATTGATGGATTGCGTTGGGGTTCGCTTGAGCGGAATTTATTGTTGTACATATGTCAGAGGTTAAAAGCTATATGGAAGTTAAAGTGTTTTAACTTTATTCCAAACTGAAACTGTTGGTAGATGTTGTTAGAAATTAGGTGTGAAACTGTTATGTGCAAGAATAGATATATAGCTATGCTTTATATTCATGTTTTAACAAAACTTATGACAAATTTGTTCTTGACCGAAAAATCTTCGGAAAAGCTGTTGAATAATGCTGGATTAGATTACTAACTTTAAACCTATCTTTATCTTTAAAGCAGATCATTAACATTCATATTTCTAGGCTATTTTTGGGTTAGCTGTGCCTCGGTCACATGACAGTTGTTTTGGCGCACTTTTATATAGTTTTAGAAAAACTCGAAACACAACGCTTTGTAATAGTTTTATACACAATAATATTCAACCAAACAACCTGGTCCTCGTCTTTTACGACAAAGCTTCCCATTGGTCAATCTCGTTAACGGAAGTAATTACGTAACTCAAATGTCAACAATAAGTTTGCTCGCGTATCGAATTGCGATAGCCGTATAGTTCTCATAAAAATATGCTTGTTAATGATTTGGAGGAAACTCTTTCTTTTATTTCAAGTATTTAGGTAGACTTGCCACAAGTCCGCCTCGGAACTTTTTCCAATTTTTTTTACAAGCTGGCAAGCTGAGAGGGATGCAAAGTTGAGGGCGGCGCGAGGAGGCGGACTTGTTTCGCCTGCACAGTTTTCAGTCTAATTAACTATTCTTGCGCGAAAACGTGAAATGTACATCTTCACATGTTTGCCAGGTATTAATTAATATGGGCGGTGTTATTTATATCTATTACTTAAGTATTTATACATTATTACTCTCTGGACAATAGATATTGAAAATGAGATAACACCAACGAAAACGTATTTAAGGGAGTATTTGTATTGAGTGTGGAAAAGACGTACTAACGCTGATACACGATGCAGATTATAATTCAACGGCACTTTTAAGTCTTTGGCGTGTGCGAATTTAGCCGGAGAGTTATCAAGCATAGTCTGTCCATCTTGCAGTGAAAAAAACGCCCGTTTAATTTCTAAAATTGACGCTGTAAGAGGACAATTTAATTTATTAAACTACAGAACACTTGGCTGAAAAACAATCTGAATCAGTTACAAAACGGGAGTGAAAGAAAGAAACCTCTGTCTCTGAGAGTTCAGGTGCATCTAAAAATCCCGTCAAGAGACGGTTGTTTTTGCGCAAGAAAACTCTTCTCAAAGTTGCCAAGAACTCTCCAATAGGACCAATATATACCTGTGATCCCATTTCACAAACAAATTAATGAGCAAACGACGCAAACTGATGCTGTTCAAGTATCAGATGAATTTTCGTCAGTGAAGATATGTCATTAAATGTATATTTAATATACATTTATGAGCTATTTTATATGACAAATAATATATCTTTAAACAAGTTATCCTCTGAACTACAACTGAGTGTACAATATATAAAAGAACAAAATAAGGACATGTTGAGCCTAAAACTGGCAAAAACGAAGAACACTGAGCCCGAACAAAATTTTACTGATTGTTATGCCGATAAACGTGCATGCATGTATAGACTATAGGAGTATAGGTGTCTTTGTTAACTCAGTTTAAAGACCATGTCAAGTCCGTAATTATACGCATCAGTTTTGCTCATAACAAAGGGGAACCCACAGATATATACATTGCCCAAATTTTGCATCTTTCGAACTTTTTGAATTGAATTATTATTGAAACGTACTCTAGTTTATATTCATTTACAATTGCGAACCAGAAAAGTGCTAGATATTCAGTTAGTATGTCTTACATTACAAACAGTTCACTGAAATGTAAATTTACATTTAATACGGACTTAAGTTCACTTAACATGGTCTTAGCTGTAACATTTTCCGTCTTCGTAACAAATAATTATTCGATATGACACTCATCGACAAACACAGCTCTAAGATTAAGAGAATCTTTAAGTTTTCCAGCAGTGCCTCGGGACTGGCAAATATCAAATTATATTAATTTAACATCTTGATTAACATCATCCCCTTCTTGCGAAGTAGTGTCAGCACCAATATGAATTGCTTCGATAGGCTCGATACCCCTTTTACGCAAAGATGCCACTTGATCTTGCATCCGTGATATCAAAGGACACGATACATACAGGATCCACGATACATCTTAATCTCTAACAGAATTCGTCCCAAATAATACGAAATCAAAAATGTTCGGAGCAATTTGGCAATTTCATGGCACAAACTCTTTCCCTATCCAGTCGGAGAACAAAAAAACACATCTTTACCCGTGAGATAAGCGTCGATCACTTCTTGTTGACCGTCTCGTAACGATTGGTATCCCACTTTGTCAAGACCATGTTGTACGCCTTCTTCTACTGAGTACATTTTATACTGTTTATATAAACACTGTCTTCTTTTTATACATGCATGTATACTTTCAGTCTTTCAGATATTCAACATAAACAAAATGGCGTCATAGCTGAGTGAATTTAATCAGTTTTCCAGTGACGTCACCGGTGCATTTCTGCACCGGTGAATTGGCGGGAAACAGGCTGGAAAAGTCCTTTTCAGCGAGGGACCCAAGCGGAACCGCGCGAAATAGAGTGACGTCATTTGAAAAGGACTTTGCGAAAGTCTAGTATTTAGGCTTCGAAATTCAGTTGAAACCAGTAGAGAAAGTCCGTATTAATTTGATACGTGGTGAAGACGCCGATTATCGCGATTCTTCCTACAGGATACGGAAGAGTTTGAGTTTTAATTATACATTTATATCAGCAAATTAAAGTTTATTACATGTTATTTTAATATAGCAATGATGCCAGCACGAGTAGGGATCGAACATTTACACTTGGCATTGCAGCTACGAAGTTGGACGATAATTTTAAGAATATTAACATTTCAAAACACGCTCAACTGTTATTTGCTTCAGGAGCCTTTTAAAGGATGAAAGCTCGTGTGTTGTGACTGCTGTATAAAATAGCTTCAAAAAGTTATTAATGATTCATGAGGAAAACGCAAAGAAAAATCATAAACGTGTCGTATCTTTACATGTGATATACATTTCCCTTGATTTACCTAGACCTTAACTTTGATTTTCTCGACATACACAACGAATTTGAAAGTTACTTCGCCAATATCCATGAACTTACTAGAATTATAGCATTTGCTGTGTGTGTTTTATCAGACCATCTTTATTTCTGATAAAACACTGCTGCTCATGTTTTAAATAGTACATAAAATCTCTGCAAATCTTGCCTAGTTGCCGAGCAAACGGCTTGCATGATGCTAAATATAAATCTCGACTATGATTGGATAATGGGTGACGGTGCTCATTGCAAAACGTCAATCATCCTTAATGGGCGAAAATAAATTTGTCATAACCATTCGGGCAGGCGTTTCCTCAAACGACGCCCTCTCTTCTCCCGCCCGCACTAAAAGCCTGCTACTCAGGCTAGGAGAAGAGGAGAAGTACTGTTCTACCTGGTTGCTGCATGTGGGAGTCGGTAAGACTGGAAGAATATAGAGATTCCAGACTTCCTTTAAATGAGGAGAGGGATGACGATAATCTAAATGATTCAGACAAGCTGTTCCAAAGTGATGCCACACTATAACTGAAGGAGCGCTTAAGATAATCAATATTGGGCTTAGGAATAAACAACTTGCCATTAGAATTTATTGGTGAATATTGACAATTCCTGGATGAAAACAATTCTTGTAAGTACTAGGGAGATTAACCATTAAGAATTTTAAACATAACAGCAGCTTTTTGCTTATGACTGTTGACCGACAAAGTGTTACACACACTTCATATTAGAGAGGTTAAGATACCCCGGTTTCGGTGTACGGGTACGAGTAGTGTCATCTTGTTTTACTGATGTCTGTAATTCGATCATACTTTTTCTGTTTTCTTGCAATAGACAATGATATAATGCGAAAAATGTGCACCTTAATTACGAGTAAAGCTACAGACATCGACGAAAATATTGCTAACCAAAATCATGCTACCCGTACACGTACACCAAAACCGGGGTATCTTAACCTCTCTGTTGCTATACACACTTCATAATTATTGTATCCTTGACATTTCAATTTTTTACGTTTCATCATATCATAATCATGAATATGCATATTAATTTAGTTTAACAGTGAAGCATTTAGCCAATACTGCGAAAATCATCCAAGTGCAGGTATAGTGGGTTGACAAAGAAGTGGACACGTAGTTCCGGTCGCGAGCTGAAACAAAGTAAGAGGTTGAAACAATGACCTGTAATAATGACCAACCGATAACTAAAAATATATTAATTGATAAGCATATTTGATCTACATCTCAGCTGAATATACTGAGCCAACCTTTTCTAGCAGCATTATCTATTATGGCATAGTTTTTCCCAAAATGATAACAATTTTATTTAAATTAATGAGATTATTTTAATTTGAATGGAATTTTGCTCATCCACGATATGCATGGTTGCGCTATAGTGCGTGGTTTAATTTAAGTACTGTATACTGTAGCATCCGGTATATTTGAAATGAAATACTCCCAGAACTGTCAGTATCAGATTTTGTAGACTGGATCAACAACACATCATCTTGAATATCAAGAATTTAACGAAGCGTACAAAGAGTAAGTGACCTAGTAATAATTCTTACTAATTGGCCGGTGTTTAAGTTAATGATAAAGTACAGAATATTTGACAAACATTATGTTTATTTTACAATTGATATTAACACATCCTATAGACAAATCTTACGTACATATACTATATAGGAAGTATACAGACTGCACAGATTTGTCGTTAATTTTGAGGATCTTGTAAGTAAAATGAAACAATAAGGATTTATTTGAAGTACTATAATTTATTTAGAGATTAATTTTTACACAACACAATCATTGAAAGCTTTGTTGTTATTAATAATTGGATATTTTGGATGAACTCCAAAACCAAACCCCTTATTTGAATAATGAGGAATTTATAAAATATAAAATAGGATTTGCTAAAGTTCTCCGCATTAAAAATCACTTTCAGCAAATATTCAAATGGATTACAAATATTCAAACAATATAAATCAGATTAGATTTTCACGATGATCACCGATTTAATGTTCGATATGCGATTGATGAGACATTAATTATGCGAAATGAGTATGGGGCTCAATCTGCTCAGTTCCCCTTTTATAATAACACGAAATATTTAGCAAAGCATTTTAACAAACGTTATGGTTGTCACATGGTTATAAGTTGCACAATATGCTTTTTGCATTTCATATTTGTTTGAATTTGGCTTGAGCCAGTATATGTAGCTGTGGTAATTCATGTTGAGGCCATTGTACGCACTGTGGGTTGACAAATGACAATAATTATATATACTGTCTCGCCAACTCAAATTCCTCAAACCTTTACACATAACACACAAACAAAGCGCCTGCGCAAAATACTCATGCCATTTTAATATCAGAATAAAAATATAGTCAATGTTTGCAGGAGCGATATCAAGGGTGGAGAAGAGGTAATCATGAGAACGTACATCAGATCGAAAGAAACGCATTTTCAGGCACCTTGAATGTTTCAAGCTGTAAAAGGTTTGATTGAAATTCACAACACTTTGACAAATACATTGTAAATTAGTTGCAGAACTGCATGCTACAATATTTCAACAACATCAACTGGACAGCGAAACTGCATTCGTTGATCGCGCTTTTTGCCTCAGATATATTCAAGAATCGGTATAAGCTTTTGCACTGTTATTCTAGTATTCTGAGAGTGTCATTCGCTTTGTATTTACATTTATCTGCCGAAATTTTTGCCTGTCTTGCAATGCACTCACTCGTAATTGATCGCCATCTCAGTTGAATCATAAGTTGGCAAAAATAAGGCTGTAGATTTTTGTGTCTAGCCCACTATTAGCTATGTCTTGTCGACTTTACTTCAGAAAATGTCGTTCATGGCATGAGGCAACGATATTAGATGCCACAGAAAAGGTGTCTTGACGACTTTAATTAATACTGGCAAACGCCTTACTCTGGAAAATTACCGAGTTGGCAAAGCTGGTAGAAATAATTTGAAGGATTTTTTCACAGCAAACGGTAAGTTAATTTTTGTCATATCAATCGATATTTATGTTTATAATTTGTGAATTTGTCATAATTTTATAATAATAATATAAAAACGCTGCTGTTCGCGTATACTCTGGACTCTGTTTCTGGTCAAAGAGATTTTAGTCACGCTTCAATAAAGCTTCATAGTGAGTTTATAATTCTGTTTATAATCAAAAGTGCTTGCACAGATCTTGAATTTTAATATAGCATTATGCGGATAGATTAAGAAGCAAGCCCATTGCTGGCATATTATACTACAACTGTTCTATCAACTAGCTTGCAGGTATAAAACTACAATTAACACAGAAAACAGGCTGGACTATTTTGTATCACTATAGTCTATAGTCAGGGGCGTAGCCAAGGGGGGGGCAAGGGGGGTGGTCGCCCCCCCCCCAATCGCAAAAAAAACTATTCTCTGAAAAAGGCTAAATCCGTAGAGAAATGGGGGGGGGGGTACACGTTACATCCTCGAAGCTGAAACGGATTAAGTACGTCTCGACTGAGGAAAACGACGAAATACTGGAAGAACTTGATTTCTAAAATCTCGTTAAAACAGTTGTAGATATGGTTCAAAGAGGAATAGATTTAGTTTAGATTTACATGTATATGCATTATGATAACATGAATATTCTTCTCAGACTTATTCTGTATCATATATAAAAGCGAGTAGAAACTTAGAAATGTCTGGGAAAATTTATGTCTTCGACGTACTTTATAATCTTCGTGATTCTGCAAGATTTCACCCCCAAAATGCTTGAAATCACATTTCAGGGACTCTAAATTTTAAAATTTTCCCTGGGCTGCATGCCCCCGAACCCCCCTAGAGCGTACTTTATAATCTTCGGAGAATTCTGCAAGATTTCACCCCCAAAATGCTTGAAATCACATTTCAGGGATTCTAAATTTTAAAATTTTCCCTGGGGTGCATGCCCCCGAACCCTCCTAGAGCGTACTTTATAATCTTCGGAATTCTGCAAGATTTCACCCCCAAAATGCTTGAAATCACATTTCAGGGACTCTAAATTTCAAAA